CACACAGTGTGTGAGGGAAAGAGGAGTCAAAATTGATGCCAGAACTTTTTTTTTTTTCTTTTTTGCCTAAACAATTTTAAAGGTCAGAGTTGCTCTTAAGTGAGATTTGGAATACTGTACTTGAAGGCGCAGATTTGGTGTGGACATATAATGTGTATCTATTAGACATACTATGGAGATATCAGGTCGTCATTGGACATATAATTTTGGAATTCATGGGAGAAGTCTATGCATGAAGCTGTAAATATGGAGTCCTCAAACTGTGAATTATTATTTTGAGAAAAATGGATAAAAGCCCAACAGCTGAGCCTAGGGGTTCTAATATGAAAAGTCAAGGCAATGAAGAGGATCCAGCAAAGGGATGGATAAAGAGCAGTGAGGGGGGTAATGAGAAAACTCGGTGAGTGTGGTGTCTGGAGCCAAGCGAAGAGAAGAAGACGTGGGGTGGGGTACTCAACTCAGTAAAGAAAGACTGGAATTGAGAATTGGCCATTCGATGTACCAACATGCAAATCGTGTAAGCTTCTTATAGCCTGGAACTATACTCTGTTCACTGCTATCTCCTGTCACTTAATATAGACCTGGTAAACATAGGGCACTCAGTAAATGGTTGCAGAATTAATGAATAAATGAGTAAAAGAATCTTTATCTGCAAGAAGCTTACATTACTATGGACAGTATGATAGAAAAAGCCAGGAACTCCTGTAACTTTGTTGCCTTTATCCTATGACAGAACCTCTACTGCAGCACTTAGTTGCAAAGCACTTGGGATACCTTTTCACATGTCAGGTTTCTCTGCTGTAGAAGGAGACCTGGCATATGGGATGGTGTGTTTCATGTTAATGAATGAATGAGTGCAAGCATGAGTGAATGAAAGAGTGAATGGACAAGCTCAGGAATAATTATAGTGCACAGTATGATCTGATAGGTAATTACCATATAACATATAATTACTATTACATATAATACAATTATAGTAAATGATATAAAGCATAATGGGATAGATATCGTAAGAAATGTACAGGAAGTTTACATAGGCTGGGCATGGTGGCTCACACCTATAATCTTGGCATTTGGGAAGGCCAAGGTGGGGATCACTTGAGGGCAAGAGTTTCTAACCAGCCTGAGCAATAAGTAGGCCTCATTGCTACAAAAAATAAAAAATTTTTAAAAATCAGCCCAGTGTGGTGGTGTACGCCTGAAATCCCAGCTACTAGAGAGGCATAAGCAGGTGGATTGCTTGAGAAGTTGTAGGCTGCAGTGAGCTATGATGATGGCACTGCACCACAACATGGGCCACAGAGTGAGACTCTGCCTTTAAAAAAACGTTTACGTAGAACAAATGACATTTGAGGCAGGCTCTGAAAAAAACTTACAAAGTTTTGATGGGTAGAAATGATAAGGAGAGAACATTCAGAGGAAAAATAAAAGCAAAGCACATTAATAGGAATGTAATGTGTGTTGAGATCACAGTAAATCCTGTCTTGGTGGAAAGTAGAACATGTATAGGGAAGTAGTTATACATAGGAAATGTAGCCCATGCCCTGTTAATGATAATAGTGCTTTGAACTTACAGAATTGGTTACCATTTACAAAGCACTTCCACACATATTATTTCTTCTTATACCATCTCTTTGCCATAGTTAAGAAAGATGTTAGTTTTCCTATTTCAAAAATGAAGAATTGGGGATTCACAGAGGTTAACTCACTTCCCCAAGGCACAGTATCTGTAATTGTCAGAGTTGAAATTCAAATGCCTATTTTCAGACGGCAAGTTCTGGGCATCTTTTGCTAATTCACAATGACTTTAAATGCATGAGTAAGAAGTTTATACTTAATTTGGCATGCAGTGGAAAAGTATTGACGGGATAGAACAGGAGAATGATGTGATCACAGTTGCATTTTCAGGAAATCAATTTGGCTGAAGGAAGTATTGGATCAGGTAGGAACTGAAAGCAAGGAGAACGGCGTTACAACACAGTAATTATGCACAAAGGAAAGAGAATCAAAACGAGATGGTTCAGTGCGAATGGATAGAAACAAAAGACAAGCGAGACCTTGTGAAAATAACATCAGACTTAACAAGACGTATTTTAAAATTATAAGATTTTTTAATGTAAGTGACTGTAAAAATGGTGCTTAGAAAAAAGAAGCAATTTGGAGATGACAAGGAGTGCGGTGTCTTGGATGTAGTTAATTTACATTGAAACAGTTTAATTTTTCAAAGCTTATTTTTAAGGTTTATTGAATGAGAACCATTGCAGCGTAATTTGGAAGCATTGTTTTGGCCATTACTAAGATGAGGCCCTTCTGAGTACTCTACCTGATATCTTGTTTATTACTGGTGTTGTTTGTTTTTTCATTCGGGCTGGCAAAAAAATGAACTATTCTTAGCATTTGATGAGCCTGGCAGTTTTTCTCTCTGATTATTTCAAGTGATTCCTTTCCTACTTTGTGTAGTTTCCTCTCACACCCCGCCTTCAGTACTGAGCAAAGATTTCTGGAGCTTTTTCTCTGCAGCTCCGTCCTGTCTAGTACTATGTCCTGAAGATTCTAGCCACATTAGCCTGTCCAGATTCCCGACTCTGCCTGTTCAGCTAAGGACGACTCCAGGCCCTATCTAGGTTCTTCTGCCCCGTCTGTGGCCTGGAACCACTTTGTACACAGTAAACTGGGCAGTCAATTGTAGGGGTCATTTCATTTGTTTCTTTTCTCTTAGGCATTACTCTCTAGGCTGCCTAATATTCAAGACCTGCAAATTGTTTCATATAATCCCTCTGATTTTAAGGCATTTCAAGTGGGAGGGTAAATCTGGTTCCTGTTATTCTTCCATAGAAGAAAGTTTCCTCCATAGATCATGATGCAGCTAATTACCAAGAATCGTATGGGGGAAAGCTATTTTCAGTGAGTTGCTAAAATAATTTGAGAAAGATTTTTTTGATGACAAACAATTGGCTTTGATCAGAGGGTAGCAGGTAACGTAATTGCTGTCATGTCCTTAAAAGAAAGAAATGTTGAGTAATAGTGAGGAAATCAGTCTCTGCTAATGTTATTTCTAAATTTGAATCAGAAGGAAGAATTCATATGTTGTTATGTTTCATTGTTTTCTACAACTCATACTCATTACAGTGAAGTCATATACTTTTGTGCTGTTCCCTTTTCCTATCTGTGATGTTTTTGGAAAGAGCTATCTGTATATAGCCTGCATAACAGATGAAATTGTGGAGATCAGTGGGCTTTATTTCACATATAATACTTAGATTTGATGTGCCATGTAATTATATTTACAAAAGTCTTGGCTGATATTTTGATAGTACAAATACTCACGTGTGCAGTGCAAAGCCAATATGCATCTTTCCTCATAAATCCATAATTGGTCGGTGCTGAAATTCAAACTCTGTAAGTAGTACAAAAATCTTTGTTTAATAGTAGCCGGGACAGGGCACTGTGGCTCATGCCTGCATTCCTCATACTCTGGTAGGCCAAGGTAGGAGGGTGGTTTGAGGGCAGGTGTGGGAGACCAGCTTGAACAACATAGGGAGATTCCATCTCTACAAAAAAAGTTTAAAAATTAGTTGGGTGTGGTCGCATGTGCCTATAGTCCCAGCTGTTCAGGAGGCTGAGGCAGGAGGAACCCTTGATGTCCTCCAGACACTCGCTGGAGGTTGCAGTCAGTGATGATGTCCCTGTACTCTATCCTGAGCATAAAGACTAAGACTCTGTCTCCAAATAAAAAGTAGTCTGTGTTGACTTACAAGGTTAAATAAAATTAGTGCTTTTTCAGATTTTTCTACAAATTATTGTTGATTTTTGCTACTTGTTATTGACAAGGGATATTTTACTCTGCTTTCATAAATCAGAAATTATTTGTCACTTCCAAAATCTTGCATAGTTTATTAAAAATGTGTGTACACATATATATACATGTATATACCTTATATGTATTTTTTCATTCCTAGGCAGTAAACTTAGAAAAATAAATTTGTCACTCAGTGTGAGTCAAATCATTACCATGGTAATATTAGACTTTGTGATCTTTAGTCCAATATGATGCTTCCTATTGATCAGTAAAGTAGTAACAAAATATAACTTTTAATGAGACATTTTGATTATTTTTAAAATATCATTTATTTTTAAAAATAGGTAAGAGTACCTCAACATGTAGTATACTGCATTAGGGTTTTCTATAGAGAAACAGAACCATAGGAGATACACAGATACCGATAAAGGAGAATATCTTGGGAAGAAATTCACATCCATAATTATGGAGGGTGAGGAATCTCACAATCTGCTCTCTTAAAGTTAGAGACCCAGAAAAGCCAGTGTTATAATGTTTGATTTGTGAAGTCTTTTGTAAGTCCAGAGGTCTGAGAACCAGGTAACTAGAAACCTAAATCCCTGTCAAGGGCAGGGGATGGTGAGATGGGACGGCGTAGCTCGAGCAGTGAGTCAAGAAAGGTACAAAGTCCTTTCCTTCCACTTTTTGTTCTTTTTAGCCCCTCAGTGGATTGGATAACGGCAGCCCATGCTGGAGAGGACAATCTACTTATAGTCTCATCTGAAATACCTTTACAGACACACCCCAAAATAATACTTAGCCAGATATCTCAGTATTGTCCTGATCCAGTTAATTTGATACATAAGGTTAACTGTCACAAGAGCTTTTCACAAACATCTCAGCGGTATTTTTGTACAACCTAAACAGTATACCCTTGAAATTAGCATACTGGTATTGCATTTAGGTTAGCCATGGTCTTGAGTGAAATGAAGACATTTTATGAATGATCCTTGGCAAAAGGATCATGGTATAGCTAAATATCATTATGTAATAGAGTATTTATGGTAACTGTAACTACCTATGTTATTTTTTATTTTAATCAGTGGAATGGAGCAAAACATAGATCTTTTTTTTACCGTTCAGTTTATTGGTAATCATTCTAATTATCTTTTATGTTTTCTCTTGTTTCAAACCCTGTGGCCCTTTCTTTTTTCACTCCTAGCTCTATGCCATCCCTTGGTTTCTCACCATGTTTACTCGTAAGTATCATTCTCTCTTTTTTTTTTTTTTTGATATTGTATTAGCAAAAGGATAGATTCATGCTTCCCTACATTTCATATTTATAAGAAGTAGATTTAATAAGCGTCCTTATGTAATCATAACGTAATAGAGCTGAGTAGAGAAGTATTTTAATTGTTCTGATGGAATGAGACTCGTACAGGATGAAAGCGTATCTCATATTTCATGACATTCATACAAGCTCCAGTCTTTTTAGAACAAGATACTAATATCAACTATAGTATTTATATGAAGTTTATGAAGGCAACTTTTACAACCAATACATGCTTCATTTTTAGAGATCCTCTACTAACAAGTGTGTTTATTTCATAAACTAGGTTTCCTCTAGAAATAAAGCAGATTGTGCACATAGGTAATACATTATTTAGTTACACGTAGTAACAGATTGGACACACTTACTTGAATACAGTCCACGTGGCAAATGGAATCATATTTGAAGTAGATTTATATGCATTGCCCTAGAAAAAATATCCACAGTATTATTAAATGGGAAATAGAAAATTATTGATAGGATTTTGAGTGGGAATTTAATAAAACATTTATTTAGAGTCCATAATAAAAATGTAACCTTACCATACCTAAAGCAATACTAAAATTCATCTAGGTAAATAAACTGAGAATAACATAACTAGAAAATTCTGGGAAAAAAATATTATGAATGGGACAGTTATATCAAGATCAATAATTGGGGTTAGAAAATGTTATCTATTTGACCAATCTTATTATCTGTTTTACAGAACACATTAGGAAGCTATAAATTTGCAAAGCCAAGTATTTTATAAAACAGTTTGTTAGTATCAGCTCTTAAAATAAGTTTTGATCATAAAGTAATAGTTACATATCTAGTAAAGCAAGTTGTTATTGTTTTAATTATTTATATTATTATGTTACAGATGTATTTCCTCTGCACAAAATTTTTCACCTCTGGGATACCTTACTCCTTGGGAATTCTTCTTTCCCATTTTGTATTGGAGTGGCAATTCTTCAGCAGCTGCGGGACCGGCTTTTGGCTAATGGTTTTAATGAGTGCATTCTTCTCTTCTCTGATTTACCAGGTAAAAGTCTAAATAAATGGAATCGCTAAATGAAATTTGACTATAACATAATGAGATATTCCTAACTCATTTGCACAAATCATCATCCAGGCCTTCAGATCTTCTGCTTGGGCCTCATCATCCCCTAGATTACCTCCCTCGTACATGACCTCTTCTGCTAGCCCAGCACTGTAAATACAAGGCTGTCTTATGCCAGTTCACTGTAATTTACCTCCATCTTGGTAATGCTACAAAATGGGCAGAAGGCCCTGTGAGGGAGTAGGGGGTTGAGAAGGATGTGGCAGTAAGATGTTTGCCCTTTGCTTAGGACAGAGCTGTTTATCTTCAGCTGATGGAGAGTAAACAGGGCCACCTGGAAAGGTGTCTAAGAATCTGTATTTATACAAAGATGTAATTCATGAAATTTTGCTACCTCCCTGCCACAGCTTCTTGCTAACAGTTTGACAGACTGAAGAAAGACACACTGTTCTCTTGGGGAAGACACATCAAACTCCAGGAAAATTCTATGTCATGTGATATAGGATAGTAAGTTAAGCTGCGTAGAGTATTCACAGGGAGTTTGTCAACCTAGAAGTTAAATACTTAAATGTAGAAATATAGATGGCAGTTACCAGGGGTGTCTAACCTTTTTCTTTTATGCTGTATATTGATGAATCAGAAAAAAAAAAGATCTGTGCATACTTTTCCCAATATCCAACACCACAGATAAGTAAAACTTTCCTCAATAATCTGTATGCAGCCCATAGGCTGTAGGCTGGACACCCTGGAAACTTTGATGCTACCATTATAAAAATCAGCATAATTACATGGCATGTAACTAAATCTTTAGTAGGAAAATTAACTGACTACATTTTTGCAAAAACTGAAAATCCTTTATGGGGAAAAAGGATTAATTTTCTTCCTAGTATCCTATTGGCTCCTTCCCTGCTGATTCTATTGCTGTTTTCCATATTTTCAGGCAGGCACAAGTTACACCTGATAATAAACATGCTTAAATTTATCCAAGAGATAAATTTGCCCAAAAACCAAAGAACTAAGGTGGCTTAAGAGATTATATATTTATTAAACACACTTAAAAGAAATAAGAAAACTGCTGCTGCCTTGATTTTTATTTCTTGTGGATGATGATTACTTCTCAACATTGCTTCTCTACCACTCTCTGTTGAAAATCTTTATCCTATTGTGTAAAATAATAAGAAAAATGCCTTGGATTTATTTAAACTTCTTCTTCCCCTTTATCACAAGTGTAAGTGTGCAGTGAGTGTGCCAAGTCAAAACAAAATAAAGTAAAAAGCAAACCAATAAACTAGATTGGAGGAAAGAAGAGAAATAATAAGCCAGGGTAATTATAGGCTGATTATTCGAAATTATGTAGCATTGAGGGAATAACTAGTATTTGTTTTTTACTTTTATTACAAGAAACTGATTTCATTCTTTTGAAAAATTCAAACCTTTTTAATCCTTGGGTACAAATTATCAGTCAGATGAAAATTGCTTATCAAACTTGAACACAAGGTTCTAGTTGCCACAAAAATCAAAGACTCTTGTTTTGTTTCTGATTCACCATTAAGTGTAAAAGAAAGAGAAAAAAATGATGGCTGCCAGTGCCTTGGTGCTAAAGCTCCCAAGACTCTGCAGCGTTCTTTTCTCTCGGGTGTGCCATGTGCCTTCATTATCACCAGCTGCTTTGCATCGTAGCGTCTGCCCGCTCCACTGCTAACTCCTAAAGATCCTTATGTTAAAAATAGAGAACCATTAAAAGTACCTGGATAGCAGTAATGTTTGTGCGTTTCCTGTTTACATCTCACTTCTTTGTAGGCATTAGCAGCAAAGATGATAGATATTCAGCAAAATATGCCAGTAATTGTGTGTACGTATACTGGATTTGAAAGGCTAGGTAAAATAAACCAGAGCTCTGTAACATATTGCACCATCCTTTCCCCCTTAGACATAGCCAAGATTATGTTTTAAAATTATACATTCATTCGTTCACCAAGTATCTATTGACTTACTATGAATATATATGTCTGTGTATATGAGAAGTGTATCTGTATGAATGAGTATCTCTAGTCTTATTACTGGTTTGTTATTTCTTTTTACTAGCCCGGAGCACTATTGGGCATAATTATTTAAAAAGACTGCTGGTAATTTGTAACTGGACTGACACTTCTAATTTGGGTTATCTTAATTACACCTGGTATGACTTCTTTACTGCAGTACGTCACTTGACTGGCTTATGCATAGTTCTTTAATCTTTCCTGTTAGGTAATTCAGCTTTCTGTCCAGTTGCTCATAGAATCAATAGGATTTGGAATCCAGTGACATGTTTAGTGTGAGGGGAGATTCCTATCCCTTACCTGAGCGGATGAATGGGAGCAAGTCAGGAATGGGTGAGTGGGTGTGGTGTTAGGGAAGCTAGGGAGTTTTAAGTAAGTGCTTAACATGTTTATGGGGCAGCTAGATTGAGAGGCTGAGGCACTATTAAATATTTTTGAGTGACAAAATGACAAGTATAATTTGAAGACTTTACTTGGCAGAGTCTAAAATTTCCTCTAGTCATTTAGGTTCTGGTAAACCCAAGTGGGTTTGGCTCTACTAGAATAGTTTGCCCTAGACTTGGTGCCCCTAGCTCACTGGTGATGGCGCCAGCCACATACACCAGTGCTGGTGGGTTGGAACCCAGCCTAGGCCTGCTAAACAACAATGACAACTGCAACAATAACAATAAAATAGCTGGGCTTTGTGGTGGGTGCCTGTAGTCTCAGCTACTTGGGAGGCTGAGGTAAGGGAATCATTTAAGCCCATGAACTTGAGGTTGCTGTGAGCTGTGACACCAGAGCACTCTATCAAGCACAACATAATGAGACTCTTATCCTCCCCCCCAAAAATGAGATAAATAGATAAATAAATAAATAAATAAAATGGTTTCCCTTGAAGCAGACCTTGTTGTGGAGAGTCTAATTCTCTGGGTATATCCTTCTTCTTCCTGTACCTGCCAGAAGGGTGAAGGGATTTTTTTTGTGACCCTTATGTTTAAAGCGTGAATGAGCAAAGTATGTGGAAAGGAGCACATTAAAAGGACAATTAATGCAAAACTGTTATGTATTAATTGATTACTAATGTTGTCATTAAGGCTACATTCCAATAAATGGGGTCTTATGAACAATGTTTGTTTATAAAAAAAAAAAAAAGACAAGATTATACTTACTTTTAGGAAGCATCCAGTGATGTTTAGCAATGAGAAAACTCACCAACTTTGCTGGAGTATTTTTGAGCTGTGAAGCATCCCAAGTGGGTGATCTTGTCCACTTGTCCACTTTCTGAGACTTAGGATATATAAGTTTATTCATTCAACACATATGTAGTAAATATTACTATATGACAGACATAGTCATACATATAGTACTGGCTGGGTCCCTAAAGATTAATAAGACTTAGGACAACCCTGTAGAAGGATGGAGAAAAAGCACTGAAGGCTTAGAAAATAGCATAAGGTTAACGCAGAAGGCTGAAGCTACATGGCTGTCTAAATGTGAGTAGGATGTTAATGGGAGCACTAGAGGTAGGTGAGAGGTAAAGTAGCTGGAGTGCATGACCTGGGGTATTGGTGCCAGGGGTGGTGATGAAAATTGGTGGGAGAGGCAGACTGCTGATTATGGGGGCCTTGCTTGACATGCTGAGGATCTTAGATTTATTTTACATGCAAGTAGAAAGTTTTAAACAGAAAAATGACATGATCCTATGTGTATTTTAGAAAATGGTTCTGTGGAAGATGGATTGGACACCCCTAAAATGCATGACTCTAAGCAATGGAAAGAGAGCAACTGTCCAGGGATAAGTTCAGGATTATGGTAAAACAGTACTTACTGGATTTAGCTCTTCACCCCCCCCCCAAAAAATTACATGATAAGAACTTGAGAGAGTCCTAATATTTTAGAACTCTCTATCTTATTATAATAACATTCTATCCTCATGTTCCCTGGACTACAGATGTTTTTCATTACCGTCCTTTAATATGTATCAGCGAGTTATTCCAGGTTATTGTATCTTTCTTTGTAAGACCTAGAATCTATGCCAGGCGTCCTCAAACTACAGCCTGTGGGCCACATGCGGCCCGCCGAGGACGTTTATCTGACCCGCCAGGTGTTTTTGCCGCCGCTGCCTGTCCTGCTTAGCAGCCAACTCGTCCCAGGCCCCGCAGTCTGGCTCTCCAACAGTCTGAAGGACAGGGAACTGGCCCCCTGTTTAAAAAGTTTGGGGACCCCTGATATGCTATGTCTATTCACTATCATTGTATTTCATCTCAGTACATTAACTGATGTTATAGGTGCTATCAAGCTGAGGGTGTCATGGAGCACTGTCCTTAGAATTTATCTTGTAGAGAGTGCTTCATAATATACATATTTTATTTCATCCACCTTGTTCTCTGCCAATAAAATAAGGAACTTTATACTTTCCTGACTGTGTAGCAGTGAGTGTTCTGTTTTATTATTATTGGGATGTTTTCATGTCACAAGACATTAATTCCTAGAACATTTATCACCTTCTTTTATAAATAAATTATTTGTGTCAAAAAATAAAGCGGTTGAGACCAGTAGATTAACAGGTTCCACCCTATGGTTTTGGATGTTAATATAATTTAACTATTCTAAAGTTTTTAATAGTATAATAAATGATGCTGTGTAATGGAACAGTAATTATCCAACTCCAAACTTAGCGTCTTCACACTAATCCAACTTTAAATTTCCAACAAAAAAGCTTTACAGAAAAAGAAAATACACATTTGTGCCTTCTTTTGTTGGTTCTTTTTCTCAATCTTTAGCATATTTTTAATTATCGGAAAGTTTGTAGCCAGTGAAATGTATAAGCCCTAATTATATAATTCAGTATGTTTTCACAGCTATAAACATCCATGTAACCAACACTACAATCAATATATAATCAATATATAGAATATTTTCACAGTCCCAAAAATTACTTTATTCTAGCTGCTAATCAATCCTTGACCCCATTAGCAGTCACTATTCTGACTCTTATCAGTGTAGAAGAGTTTTACTTGTTTTCAACTTGTTTTTATTTTGTAAACTGTGTCTTTTGATAAGTAAATTTTAAATTTTCTTTTTTTTTTTTTTTTTTGTATTGTTGGGGATTCTTTGAGGGTATAAGAAACCAGGTTACACTGATTGCATTTGTTAGGTAAAAACCCTCTTACAATCGTGTCTAACACTGAGACCCCACCCTCTCCCTCCTTCCCTCTCTCTGCTCTTCCTTTCCTCACCCCTCCCTCCTTCTTTCTCTCTCTGCTCTCCCCCTTCCCCCATCCACACTGTGTCATTAATTGACATCAATTGTCCTCATACCAAAATTGAGTATGTAGGATTCATGCTTCTCCATTCTTGTGATGCTTTACTAAGAAATTTTAATGTACTTTATCAGTTGTTTTCTTTTATGAATATGAACCTCATTTAATCAAGCCCAGCAGCCAGGTGTTGGAATAACTGATTAAGGCAACAAACCAAAAAGGTAATAGTCGAGTCTTTAATGACTAACTGCAGTGGTATAAGCAAAAGGCCCGACTGGCAAAGGTGCCAACTCACCTCTGTTCCATTTCTCCATAGGGACTAGCACCCACATGAGGAAGTCATTTCACTGCCAAGGAGGCTCATAAACTAAAGGCTCCTGAAGTTTTGTGGACCTAGAGAAAGGGAGAGTGGAAAGTCCTCGGAATAGACAAGTATTTAGTACTGAGTCAGAGTGGAGAAAAATATCTTTAGGTTCCCCCCACCTCTGTTCCAGAGACCTTGGATGAGGTGTCTGAGGAAGGCCTCAACCGAAGGGCCCCAATAAAGAGGCCTTTAGATTGGAGGGACCTAGAACAGGGATACAAACATGACCGTCCTAGGGGACCATGTCTTTGACAGCACTCCCTACAGATTGCAGTGCATTAACTAGGCACTGAGTCTGCTGTGGAGAGGGCGGCTGTCCCCTATGGGGCTGGCCAAGTAAAGCCCTTGTAATAATTGCCTATAGTTAGGCATTAAAAGTCGTGTATAGATTTTTGATCAGCAGCTGGACTTCTGAGATATTGCATATTCTCTAAGAAATGATTGTTGCTCCAAGATCATTAACGTATTCTCCTACGTTCTTCTAGAATGGTATATTGTTTAAATTTTTATATTTTGGTCTATGATTGAGTTGAATTCATCGTGTGGTATGAAGGTTGTTCATTTATGGTCCCATATATTTATCCACTTACTGCAGTTCCTTTTGTCTTAATGGAATAACTGGTCTTTCCAGATTTACTGGCCATATACCAAATCTGAATGACCTAAGAAATAACAAAAGATGCCTTATAAACCTTTATGAACTTTAGGCATTCTAGCTGTAGTAGCGCACTTAATAAAAACCATTTAGCTTCTTCAGGTCTTAGTGTCTCCATCTTCAACAGAAATGGATGGCGGGAGGCAGAACTGTAGAATTAAACTAAGTGAAAGTAGACAGTATCTGTCTCGTGACAAATGTGCAGTGTCTTTTTCTCTTCCCTTCTCCACAGTATCTCCACCTTGCGACAGCAGACAACTCTGAATGATAACCCGTGCACCAGCCACAGGCTCTGCTTATTGCCTGTCTCCTTTACCCTTAAGCCCTGCATTTCAAAAAGAGAAATAGGGAAGCTTATTCCTTTGTAATTTAAAGCATGTAATACGTTTTTCTCCATTGTCTATCTGAGCTGACACTTGGACTTTTGCAGAGGAAATGAGAATATCTGCCATTTGCAATTTTAAAAACATGGAGAAAACCTGATCAGTGCGCAGCTCCTTCACCCCCGTCAGCTTCTTGAACTTCTCCTGCCTTTCCGTGATCTCTCCACGTTCCCTGGAGAGAAATGGCTACGTCTTCCTCATCAGGAATGTTCCTAAATAAGTACAGTCCCATGAAAAACACAGACAGTAATGGGAACAGTAATAACCTTCCTATGTATAAAGCCTGTGCATTGAAGAGGCCTAGCTTTCAAATACGACAAAGAAAAACTCCTCTGTGAAAATGTTTCTTTATTCTTTTAATCAGGTGCATTTAATCTACCTCCATGTGAAACCCGACTTAAACCTTTCGGCACTTAACTCAAAAATTATTAAGGAAGACATGATAAATTGAGATTTTGAAAAGTTTCCCCCTTTTTAAATATCCTATTTAATGGCAATGAAGCTTTCAGTACACTTTACCAGAAGCTGTGGTGAAGCGATATCTGGATGTTTTGTCTATTCATTCTCAAATTGTAGCCTACCTCTGTTTTACTTTGGAAAAATGAAAACATTATCAGAATAAATGGGCCAGTTTTTTACAAAAGGAGGTGTGTTATATTCCATGATGTTTAAACAATGGTACACTGAAATAGTCAAACATATGTAGGTGTGTGTGTGTATATGTTGGTAATACCAAATAAAATTTTAAAATAAGTATGTAAACTTAGATATATATGTAATAATATAATAGCAAATATTCCCCAGTCATAAATATATTTATGAATATCTACATTGTACTTTTTACTAGTATCTTTTCTAATTATTTATCATCTTAATCATATTTAGATTATATGCACTTAGGAAAGAATGTGTTTTTTGCTAAACTCTGTACATTGCTTTTTAAAAATGTTTTCTATCTAGAAATTGACATTGAACGCTGTGTGCGAGAATCGATCAACCTGTTCTGTTGGACTCCTAAGAGTGCTACGTACAGGCAGCATGCTCAGCCTCCAAAGCCAGCTCCTGACAGCACTGGAGTCAGAAGCTCAGCTCCTTTTTTCTCTTCTGAGTGTCCAGACCCTCCAAAGTCAGATCTGGTATGTATTTGCAGGTTTTGTTTATAAATTCAGAGGAGATAGATATGCCTCCGTGTCATCACTCTTAATTATATTGTCATTTATGTCCTTGTAGTGTAGCTATTTACAAACATATGATTGTTTTCATACAAATATTTCAGAAAATCTTTATGTCTGTTTGGTTGTGTAGTTACAGAGACTGTTTTGCCGTTTTCCTCCAGGTAGCGAGTTTTATTTTTTTCTGTGTAATCATAGTATCTGTTTATATGTCAACTTGTTAAATAGTGAGAGATCACAGAAGCGAAGTAAAAATTTAAAAAACAGAGAAAGACTGAAAGTTGGCAATAGAATAGGAATTTACTTATTGTTGGTTGACAGAATAAGTAACGTTTTAAAACTATGCCACTCAAATTTTGCAATGGTGTCACTGGAGTTCCTTTCTAGACATTTCATATAAATGGAATCATAAAACAGGTGCCCTTTTGTGGTTGGGTTCTTTCATTTGACATGGTGTTTTCAATAGCCCTCCTTGTAGCATGATCGGTACTTCATTCCTTAGTAAGCCTAAATAATATT